TTTTCGGCGTTAATCTTGTGTTATTCCCAGTGAAATTGCTGGTAGAACTAGTCTGCAGAATAATTACTATTCTGCCCGGCGTTAGGTCCTTCGTTTTTCATTTGATCCGGCTCTCTTGGTTGTAACTCTCTATCGTAGTTGTCAACACTTTTAGCCTAGGATCAACCACAAACAAAGAAACTTTACAATTGCATCTTTTCTTTTGATTTCTTGTTGATTTTATGAAGCTGCTACTGAGGTTTTTGAAATTACCGGATTTACATTGAGCTTATCGATACTGCACACAACTTACTGGATTTAATACAGGCTTACCGGTTTTGACAGTTTTTCAATACATACCGGTATTGCAGCGAGCTTACCGGATTTGCGTTAAGCTTACCGAATTTAAATCTATTTTCCAATGTATACCGAATTCACTCATTTTTCTTTTCAGATTTACAGTTCATTCATCAGCTGTTTTCTTCCTTTTTTAATGGCTAAGGATCAGTTTTTCAGCTCTGATCTTCAAAGATCAGTTTTTCAACTCTAAAACCTTACAAGCATACCGGATTTTACCCATTCACATCATCATTTTGCATCTTCAAAAAAATCGGCATCAACTGTATTTTGCTTTTACTCTTTCAGGTCCCTTAAGAACATTGAAGCTCTAATTCTATGCATACTAGATTTATATTTTGCCTACCGGATTTATACATCTTACCGGATTTGGCACTACTTACCGAATTTTCTCTGTTTTTCTTGAGCCCTCGACAACTCCTGATCTTCTTCCTTTTACAGATCCTGGTCCATTTTCAAAGTTCAATTAAGCTCTAATACTATATTGGAATTTTATGATACAAAAACTCTTTGAAAAAAGCACTGATATTCAAACACATTTTTATTGATCGAGAGGATGTGAAGGAGGAACAAAAACTTATTTTCATATACCGGTTATAGAAGTAACCAGATATTGAACAAAGCAAAACATAAACTCTGCTGGTTTTATAAACTCACAAATGAGGAGGAATGAAAAATTCTATAATATCATTCATCATTTCATAGAACATTTCCTTCTTCATTTTTCATACATCTCAACTATATATATAGCCAAACTTGTACA